AGTAATTCCACCGTCCTCCTCCCGAATGAACTAGAAAAATTCTATAAATTATATAGAAAATACAACCTTTAGCCATTGCCTTCCCCCTCTCCCTCTGGTTACAAGATCTCTCGGGAAACAAACGCCTGAAAGAAACCCTGAGATTTTAGAACAAAAACTTACAATACATAGATTAAAATACATAGAAGCCATATTTGTTCACATCAGCAGCCAACACAATTTGACAAATCAACATTCTAAAGCTATAAGCCCCGTTTAACTAGTCTTCTAACTGTTTGGCTTGTGATTTCAATGTATCAAATGTATACTACCGATATCGTTGTAATAAAATGTATGTGAAACATTTGAGTTGATTACTGATTATTGATATCATTGATATGAAAGTTGAACGCTGACGCCTTTAAAACGTGGTCCCAGCTATAATCATTGTCTCGAGGTCTACAGTAGAGATTACAGATGTTTAGAATCAAAACAACTTAGCGGAAACAGGAGAAAAATCTCTGCCCACTCTAAAGTTTTATTTTTTAAAGTGAAATATACTTATAACTAAATGTTATATTTCGAAATTTAATAGCACTTACACAGTGTATATGTAAACTTATGTCGTACCCATTTAAACTATCCTTTACCATATCAATAAAATAATCCAACTGTAACGTATCGTAACACTAAACCTTCTTATTTTATCTTCTGAAATCTTTCTGAAACTTTATTCATGAGTTACCGAAAACAGTGATGAAATAATTAATAATTAGTAAACAATGCAGCTGTATTCGACTTTAAAATTAAAATAAACACTAAAAACCTGACTTGTAACTATAGAAACATTTTAATTTTTTTTTTAAATATAGTTTTTTATAGTCAACCAGCTTTTATTTCAAATGAATACTTATTAGGAAAATACAGTCTATGTACGGCGCTACATTTACAATTTTGTTAACCTTAGTGAAACTAAAGTTAAAGTGTTTACACGGAAATTGAGTAAGGTATCGCATCCGGTTACCGGAAATATTTCAAAAGTTGAGAAAATACTGTACATACAATTTAATACATGTAAACACTTTAACTTGAGTGCTGTTTCAGTCAGGTAAACGAAATTACATTTACAAGTGTAAAATCTTATACTTAGATTATTTTTAATTTTGAGTGACCTCCAATAAACGGAAGTTGTACTTTACTATATTTCCGGTTTCTAAAAAAAAAGCGATAACGTAAGTGTAGTTTCACTAAGGCTAACAAAATTGTATGCATAGGGGTCATCCATAAATGACGTCACGCTATTTTTGACGATGTTTACCTCCTCCCTCCCCTCCGTCACACGTCGTTACAAAAAGCCAACACCCCCCCTAATATTACGTCACACCTCAGCCTACAACCCCCCCCCTCAAAATTGTTATTGAATTTTTCTTAAAACATCGATATTTTTCTAAAATCTTGTCTGAACTCTGTCAAAATAGAGTGTTTTAATCAATTCCTATCACAATTTATCAAAACCGTTTTTTAAACGCGAAATAACGGCTTAAACTCGTTTTCTAACATTGCTTTTTTATAATGCAAAAAAAGTGACGTCACACTATATGAACCCCTCCCCTCCCCCTCATCACACACCGTCACAAAACTACGGACCCCCCCCCCCCTACGAGCTTGACGTCATATATGGACGACCACATAGCTGTAAGGTCTCATTATGTTGGCTCTGTTAAATTATGAGTGTTATTATGAGACCGAAAGTAGTACTTTATGCTGTTTCCCATTTCTCAATAAATATCACTTCAAACTTTTCAAGTAGGTAAAGACTCAACGACAATACACTGTGACATAAAATGTTACTTAATTAGATGTTTTAAAGCACCAATATTTCTCTCAATCATGCATGCAATGTTTACATTCATTTTGGTGCGCAATTATTTTTTTCTACTCAATTGTATTTTTTCTTAAAGTATTACGTATTTAAAATGCATGAAAAACGTTCTAATAACAAGCTTTTGTATAATTGTGCGCTAAAAAGGAGAAAATAAACGATTTTTAAAAAATACATAACAATACACTACTATTCAAATAATTGAAACGAATCGGTCAGTTAGAAGTGATCGAAATTTCGCTTGGCAGTTTCGATCCATGCCGACAGACAGATAGTAACACACACAGAGGAAGCATGTTAAATAAAAGCTTGTAAAAACATTTTTATTACACGATTGCACTGAAAGTGCCTTCCGCCTTACTTTTTTAAAAGAATATACGAGAAAGATTAGTGGAGATCACTCCCGCTTTATTTTAAACATTTACGTTTTTTTTTAATTGAATAGAATCGCGTAGAAAAAAATAATTCCGCACCAATTGAATGTAAACAATAGTCAGGAAAATTAGTACTTTATAAAGAAAAACATAATTATTTTTTAAAAAGCTAGACAATGATATAACTTATTGTCACAATACTTGTCATCGAGGCGCGACCTACATACAAAGTTTGAAATAAATCGTTCTGGTAGAAGCGTTCGAAGTTTTGGTGTCAAGTTTCTGCTCATGACGGAAGATACAAAAGATAGAGAAAACAAGTTAATAAAAAGTCTAGTGACAATTTAAGCGCAATTTCCTTATGTTATCTAAAAATAGATATAATGCTGGGGTGCGTTCAAGCTAGGAGAACGATCGGTTTGTAGGTGTTTATGCAATTAAAAAAAAATTGTGACCAAACGAAAGGATATTTTTGAAAACTTTCTTCGGCAATATTGTTCTAAATTATGGCAGGAATCGATTGGTAAATGTTTCAAGTCGCTAAGTGGTCTGGTTGCCGAGATATGGGCAAAAAACTGCATTTTCGAGGTTTTTTGGCTTTTCCGGGAAATCCAGGAAGGAATTCCGGGAATTTTTTTGGGCCCACAATCATCCTCGGAACTTACTTAACATATTTGCTTTTGGAACTAGTCCTCGATATTGCTTCGTTGAGGAGGAGATACGACTTAAAGCTGAGGACACACTCCTTGACGAGTTAATAATCGCAATTGTCCGTATGGAAATTGCGCTAAAAAGTTACATTCTTATGGTTTGTTTTGAGAAATCGGAAGTAGCGTAAAGTGCTACTTCCGGTCGTCGGAAAGCACACATTATTTGAAAGAAATCAGTAGATAAAATATTTTTACTTATACATGAAATTTCGTCTACCTAAAATCGTACTTTTGAAAAGCCGAAAATGTGCCACTTCCGTTTACCGGAAATCGCTGAAAAGTCAATACAAAACTACAAATTTGATATAATATTTGTATATTAAATTTCATCAACTCAGCTGAAACGATACTCAAGTTATGGTGTTAATGCATAGACAGACAGACAGACGGATAGACAGAACAGACAATAGATTTCGTATTTTCAACTGCTTCTGTACTCAGTAGACGAGAAAGTAAAAATGTAGACATAAGCCTATCTGGCTAAAAGCATACTATATTATTTTCGTCTTACTACTACTAATGTAACCCTAACTACAACTAGATCGAAGACTAAAGCGCATGACATAAATAAGAATTCAAACTTTGCTTAAAGGTTTTGATCAAGAGCTAAAACAACTTCTTCAAAGCTCGCTAACAAGTTACGTAAAGCATAAGTATAGTCTATATAGGGCAACAACTGTTTCATTGCTTTTTTTATTTATTTACTTGACAGCTACGTCGGTATTTTAAAAGGCTGACTGCTCTTTCATTAATTATTCGTTTGTAATGTTTAGTATTCCCGATATATATTTGTATATATATATATATATATATATATATATATATATATATATATATATATATATATATATATATATATATATATATATATATGTATGTATATATATATATACATATATATATATATATATATATATATATATATATATATATATATATATATATATATATTTATTTATTTATATAGGCATATTTGTATTTTTTATCTATTCCTATTATTGTAGATATTTTAGAGAAATAATTTTTACTAAATACTACAGCTGCGAGAGTGAAGATCTCGAGTTCGAATCTGGGTCGGATTCGTGTCTCTAGAACTTCCCTGAGTCCATCGAGCTCTTATGGGTACCTGACTCACATTAGGGAAATTAAGGAAGGCTGGGGATTCGCATGTCATGTATGAAAAAAATAATAATTGTATCACTGAAATATTCTGACAGCGCCTGGCGTAAAAATAAAATGTACACACTCAAAATGAAATGTATTGTTGCATTTTACTTGTACAAAGTCAATTACTTCGTAGTCACATTCTATACTTGTATCATAGATTTCTGCATTTGAACCCTTTTTTCTACGTGCAATGACGGTGGACTACGAAATTGAAGCTGAATCGTAATACCACAAAATGCTCTCTCACTGAGGTATAATGCTAATGTAAAAAGGATGGTAAATATAGCATTTCTCACATCACAATTATCACTGATCTAATTAATAGTAATATATCAAGAGGAAGGATATAATTCTTTAAATTCAGCATATCTCAAAAGAATATCGGAAAGGAACAAATAGAGACAAAAGACTTGTTACCTATAAATGTGTTTAGGTTTATTTAAGCTTTAAACTTTGTTTTTTCACACAATTTTAACCCTACTGCTTGTGTATTTTTATTGAGCCAATTGACTTAAAAATGTGTAAAAAAAACATAAAATACGATTCTGAAAATATCAACACAAGTATAGCAGAATATTACGTGTAGTTAAGACAATAAAATAGAAATATTATCTTCAAAAAGCTATCTACAATCATCTTCTCACCAAACTTTTTTGAGAATTTTTACAACAGGATTTGCCCACTAATATTATATAGATATAATATAGTATAGTATCATATTATATTTTCTTTATCAGGAAAGTCAAGTCCTGTTTTTACACCTGCTTCTCTCTTCTACCTTTGCTGCTGCCCTTCAATATTTAATCTCGTCTTTTACCTCTGATCAATCAATTCTGAATTGTTACACAATTTAAAACCAAATTATGTTTTTCTTTCTTTGCTTTATGCTTTTATTCTTCAACTTAAATACGTATCAACGGTCGCTAAAATATTTTTGTTACACAACGAGCAGACATACATGGGGACAGAACATTCCCTGCACGTGGTGAAGTGACCACAGGGCAAGAACGTCACCCCCCGGGGACTCCTTCTACACTGCAAGCACTTCCTCTCTCCTTCCAGAATTGTATTTTCATTCTTCACGGCCATGAGGTGTTCCTCAACTCGAGAAAAATTATTTCTATCTCTCCTCGTTATCCTTGTATCTTGGTCTACTGAAGTGTTCACAGTCGCTAACGAACTTCCAACACTTGCTAAAGCCCAGGCTCCTGTATGTTCTGTTGTTGTATCGTCCCCACTCGCCTGAGCGGATATCTCGCTGTAATCTAACGCTGCACCACTCAACGCAGTAAAATCTACATCCCCTGACGTCAGAAATCCATCAACCTCATCTCTTCCATGTTGACCAGCCACAGCTCTACTACTTCCCTTCTGGCCATCCTCCCTACTCGACGCTGACGTTTGTTTATCAGAAACACTTGAAACATTATCACTCACTCTCGCCTCGTTACTTAGAGTTACCTCCCGAGTTTGAAAATTTCTCGCTTTCATTTTTAAACCATTCTCTACATCCGATTGCAGAAGTAAGCCCAAACACCTCTCGCCTACATCACTGAGCAGCTTCTCTGCGCAGTCCATCAGGCTCTCGGTGTTGACATTACTCCCTGCCTCACGGAGGGTCCAGACACAATAGATAAGAAAAATGTAAGGATACTCCATCACACTGGTCAAGGCGGAGATCTCCTTGAAGAAAGTATTAAAGATGGCGTTAATCTGTTCCCCTTCTAATCCCAGTACTCGCTCAACAAAACTGTTGTCCATGATTTGATTGTGGAATAACCTGATAAAAAATTAATTACTGCACATTTATTTCATGTCTCTCCTACTATTGTCTCTCTCTCTGCATATAACTTGTGAGTATGTGTGTGTGTGTGTGTTCGTCTTTGTGTCTGTCCTGTCCCGTACCGTATCGTACCGTCCCGGTCTGTCTGTCTGTCATATCCTATCCTATCCGATGCTATCTTGTCCTGGTCATGTCCTGTTTTGTCTGTGTGTAAATACGTATAACACACACACACACACACACATATATATATATATATATATATATATATATATATATATATATATATATATATATATATATATATATATATATATATATATAGTGGCGTAGCGAAGGGGGGCGGGGGGTGCGGACCGCACCGGGTGACATCATTTAGGGGGTTGACACCAAGGCAAAAAAAGCAAAATATATAGAGAAAAGTTTGAGTGGGGGGGGGGGGATGCAAATCGAAAGTTTGAGGGGGGGGGTGCAAATCGAAAATTGAAAGTTTGTCCCCGGGAACGCCTCTGGGGGGGCTACACCATTAAGTGCCGCACCGGGTGACACCCGACCTCGCTACGCCATTGTATATATATAATCTTACTTTACTTCAATATAGAACCATTAAACACAGCCAAAATGTGAAAATAAATAAATCATTGACTCACCTGATAAAATATGTTCATTTTTCTTCCTGGCTACAGCTGCATGTACAGTTTTCTTAGACAGTAAAAAAAAATTGTAAATATTTATTAGTCTGAATACAAATAGAAATAAACGACTTAAAATAAGATGTTATTGGCGGTAAAATATGTTAAAATGCTTCATACAATAGTTTAAGGCTAATAAAAACATATAAACCTACGTAACGAAAAGTATGTTGGTCCACTTTGCTAAATAGAAATAAATATCTAAAGCGTTCAGAACTAAAGAGCAGGATTTGACAAATTATGTAAGCATGAACAATTTACCAACTTTTCCGTTATGATCATTCATCAATTCTAGGAAATTCCTGAAAGCTAACACAACTGGCGTATTATAAAGTCAAGCATTACCATTATTTGTAAGCATTACTTTATGATTTACAACAAACAAATAAAAGAGATATTTAACTACATATGACAAATATATGGAAGTTTCATGTGTTTTTAAAATGGTGTATACACAACAGCTTCATGAATTTAAATGAAGACGTATGCAGTTTTTATTTAATTTATTCATTAGGTTGAGTTTTCATTTGGTAATGCAAAGTTCAAAGGGTTAGACGAAAAGGACATAGCTCTTTAGTCTTATAGATGTAGTAAATTATTTTATATAAGCCTAAGGCTTGCAATTAATAATTAAATTGCTTTACGCAATGCCTAATATAAATTCAAACCAAGTATCATAGTCCATTAAGACTACTGTTTGTCATTTGTTTGTTTTACTTACCCTCTAAAAATAAAAACAGAGAAAAATCATCAAACTATTTCGAAATCGGTATTACGGGAACATCTGGGAACACCCGGGAAAACCCGGGAAAACCCGAAATTGTAAAGTAATGAAAACCCGAACATCGGGCAAACCATAGATTACATTATTATATAAAACATTCGCCATTTTTAATACAATACTTGATCATTTAACAATAAAGAAAGTCCATCATTCAAACTTTAAAACATCAGTAGTTTCTATAAAAATTAATATTAACTTTAATTTTAATTTTTTAATAGATCTAAAAGTATGTATTAGGCCTAATTAGTTTATTTAGCTAAAAACTGAACTGAAAACGTGCTAGCTTGTCGCGCAAAAACAAATACAAGTTTAGAGTCACTTAAATAAATTACCTGTTTCCATATCGTATAACATTCTACAGTTGTTTTAATTTTAGGTAACGTTCGTCAACACTAATCTTAAAGTATGAAGCCACTGAACTGTCACACACACGCCTGCCTTTTGCGCCTGCCGGTCGCGGTCGGCTAACGCTGCGTCCTGATTCACCTCAGTGATCGTGAACAGTCAAGTTAATACCGCCTTGTCAAGTAGTAGCCTATTAAATCTCGTTCTAGCTGTGACTGTAAGATCACGCGCTAAAGATTGTGGCGTATTTTTCTTAGCAAGTAGGACCAGTTTAGTTATTATTCATCTTTAGTTGAGTTTTCTTTTTTACATTCGTCAGAATTTACTAACCTCAATGGGGTACATTTAAAAAATGTTTTTACGGCTTGATTTTAAATACATTTTATCTTGTTGTTGCTATTGAAGGATTTCGTTTTATTTCAGGGTATTTCTAAAAAAAATAACTTTAACTATAGACTAATATAATTAGACGTACCAGACTTTAAAAGTAATTTATGGATCAGGTATGATTTAAAGCAGGAGAATGTCATAGCTTTATTACTTGAGTAAGAATCAGTTAACTACATAAGTATTTAAATTACTAATGTGTTGACATTCCACTTTATGAAAATCTGAATGGCATAAAGTTATGCCTCATCTTTATTGACCGAATAACTGTAAGGTTGCTAAGGGTGACTAAGAAGTTTGTTGATATTTCTTTCCATGATGGATTATCCTTGATTTTGAAAATGACTTTAAAACGTTATAAAATTTGATAATTAATTATTTTCTATGTTGTGTCCTTATCATTTAGGGATCAGATCCTATCGAAGCGACGGGTCAAGCTGTATCTGAAGTAGCAGCGTCACAAGGCGGGGTGGGGGATGCCGGGGAGTGGGTCTGCACCAGGTTACACCATTTTACGGGGGGGGGGGGGGCACAAAATCAAAATATCGTAAACTTTACTGTCAAAACAATGTTTTATCCAGTTAAAATAAGAAATTAGTATGGTTGAGGGGTGACACCTAACCGAAACTGCTACATTTTCAGAGTGGAGGGGGATGTGGTGACACCCTTTGTTACCATACTGAATGACACCGACCCTAGTGACGCCACTGGTCTAAATATCTGTTATAGCAGGCTACAGAAACCTGACACAGTCAATGGACACGAACCTCGGCGATTACAGCGATTACACACAAGAGAGAGAGGGAAAAATGGACAGGCCTGCATTAACTTAACTGCATTTACCGCAACGACTGTACGTAGGCTATAACGTAAAAACTTCTGACCACTTTTAACAATGCGAAACTTTTTCCTGGCAAGTCTGTAAGTTACGGTAAGCTTTGAATTGTGTAAAATGTAAAACTTTCTATGTAAGATCTACACAACTAATCGAATCATATCTAAACTAATGGGCTTTTAAAAACTTACTTATTGTATTAAGCTCGCAGTGAATCAAAGTCTGTGCTTTTCGACTACACATCTGAAACAGAAACCTTGGTTATTTAAGCTACCAACCCATCTCTTACTTTTCACATAGCTACTTCATACAAGCAAACTGAGAAACACATTCAAACACCTCATCGAAAACTACCTTTCTGTTTACGCCGGAAGTTACATTTTAAATAATATAGAACACTGATAACGCAGTAACCAATAACATAATTTGGTGGGTTTATTTTACAGGTTTTAAAATATTGTTATACTTGTCATAAATGCATAGTGGTAACTACGAAAACATGCATTAATTGTATTATTATGCACTGAAGTTACACCTAGTTTGGTAAAATTTCTATAATCGGGAAATCCCAGAGTATGTGCGTTGTTAATGAACTTAACAGTTTGATTAATAATATTTGTGCATGATTCTTTAGAGACATATCTAGGCCTAATAGTAGTCTTTTGAAAATCGATACTGAAAGTCGGTTAATCTTTTAGCGTATCTCTTACATGGAAATAACGGAAGATTTTTCCACAAATAACAATATTCAAAACTCGTTAACTCATGTTATAGGTTCAAATTAAAAATATATAAAATAAAACAACCTTAATTTTTTTTCTTTAAAGCTTTAGGTATAGGGCCTACACCAAAATAGAAAGCTACGTTTTTCGACGGATTGAAAAATTTGTTTCTGAATCAGAAAATGTAAACACCCAATTCCACGATCTGGCACCACTATGGACTAATTGATACCTACCCACATCTGTTTGGCTGAAGTAAACAATAAATGGAAACCAAAGGAAGATACATAAAGTAATAAGGCTCCCTTTCTGTTTAAATTTACCAGTGACAATTGCTTACCATCTAATTTTGGAACTTCAGTATCATAGTATGCCTATAAATCCAACTCTTACCTCACCACGATAAATTTTAAAAGACCCGCAGTTTATTTGCAACATTCATACACACATAGAAACACACACACACACTAGTCCTATTTATATAGATCTACATAGCCTACATATAGCATATCTTTCAATTCTAAAATTCCCGAAAAAATAGGTAAACATTGCTTATGTCTATCAAATATTTTTAAACATTGCAATCGCTTGAAAAAAAAAATCGATATCTTAAATCGATATAAAAAAACGTCTTTAACAACTCAAGACCAAATTATTACAACTTTTAATCATGGAATATTTATCAATAGTTAAATATTCTCCTCGCTCCACCTCTCACCCCACCCACCCCTTAAAAAAACTTGGTCTACATTTACGCTAGAAATAGTTTAAATCATGAACAGGAAGTTTTTTTTACGTCCTGACCACGTCAGATTTCATTCTAATAGAGTACGATACTCAATTAGGCTTTTTACACTGTACAAAGGCATGAGTTCGAACCCTCGGGCAGATGAGGCTCGTTAGCTGGGGACAGCCACTCTTCTAGGAGAGACAACTCCAAAATCAAACAACTACTGCCTTGTAGCAGTGGCGGAACTAGAAAAAAAGGGCCACCCCGCAAAATTTTTTTTAGACCCCCCCCCCCATATATATATATATATATATATATATATATATATATATATATATATATATATACAAGCACAAAATAAGAACATAGGAATAGGATACTCATTACTGGCCTGTTCGGGTTTTCAAAAAACAATGTTGATTTTTTTAAAGTTAAAACAAATTACTAGATCTAGATCTACATCATGCCAAGTGAGTAAGTGCATTAGTGTGTTTTGAGAAAACCATATTTTTGCATCTGCGCTATAGGTCCTCCTAACATTCAGTCGGCCAAAAGAATATAAAACATGAAAGCATTGTAGAAGTAATGATGTCTCGTGTTATGATTATTTTATGGTTTTTTTTTTTAATTTATATTATTAATTTTAAACACATTTCCTTTTTATACAATGTCATTCTTTAGTAAATATTTTATAAAAAAAAATAAGTAAGAGAAGTAATTGCTTTTTAATTCGTTTAGTACAAATCTATTAAAAGGAGCTTATGAGCACCTCTATTTGACTATTTAAAAAAGGGAAATAAGTCATGGAAGTGGTTTGAACGTTTGCTTATCTTTGTTAAGTTTAATTGTAGGAGAGTGAGGACTCGGCTTTCACAATGGTTCAAAAACAAAGGGAAAAAGAATATACTAGAGCTTGGGTTGGTGTTAATAGAATAAAGATGATCCAACCGCAGCTACGATAATCGTTTTACAAAACAACCATCAAGTCAAAAATGCAAGAAAATTAGATTTTTTTTAACCAATAAAAAATTTATTATGGTCGGCTGTGGGCCCCTAAATGGCGTGGGCCCCCCCGCATTGCGGGGTCTGGCGGCACTGTAGTTCCGCCCCTGCCTTGTAGTGTGTTCTTGGTTGGACAAAGGCTATGGAAGCAAATCTAAAAAGAAAAGCAGGCTGAAATCGGAATCAATGGTCTCAATGGCGCATAACCAGTTGACACGTATACTTAATTGTGTTGTAGGGGATCTTTTCCAATACTAAAATTAAGAACGAAGAAGAAGAAGAATTCTGGCCGGAAGTTGTCATTTATGAGTGCCCGCTTGTTGGGAAAGATAAACGCCCCGCCCCTCCATATGGACATATTGGGGGCGCTGTTTACGATTCGCTGTTTCTTTACAGGTTTAATTCTATTGTCACACCACACAATTCTCGTATAAAACCGTTAAATATGTCCGTAAAACGACGAGGCAGTCTCTGCACTCCACGTGTAAGTCAGTAACGGAGCTCGGAAAGTTTTTTTTCCGCGCCCCGTTCCATTCTGAACGGCCACCCCACCCCACCCTCCACTAACTACGCCTCTTTAGTCCACACAGCATTCCCCCCCCCACCCGGACGAAAGAGAAAAATTATTATAAACTATTTTGTTTATATAAATTATATAATTTATGTAGCAAAATAAGTAGCCCTACTTTAACCAGCGTCCATCTCCCCTCCCCACCCCTGCAATTTTAGAGTGCACTAAAAGGGAGAAAAAAAGAGAAAAATGACAAAGCATTGACACTAAAAGATGAAACAAACACCAAATGGTATCTATCTGTAAAATGGTGTCTGCGTATTTGGTTGGGTCAGTGTATTAAAAAATTTGGGAAAAATAAAACGAAATCAAATTAATATTAGCCTACATTTACATAGTCCACATTGAAAATTACTGTTACTGATTGTTAAGTGACATTAATTCTGATAGCGGGAAACCCCTAGTCGTGATTTCTATTTTTAGAATAAGTTTTCAATTCAGTTTCTGGTTTCTTCCTCATGCCACTGACTAATGTGCTTATCATTGGCCAAAACAAAAAGTATTAAACTTCCCTCACGATTTCATGACTCTCTGATTATGAAAGTTAAACTGTAACAGAGTAAATTAGTCAGCCTGTAACCAACTTTAAAACACCAATACTATGTGGCCAGTGTTTCTTCCAGACTTTTTTCTCCGGGGGGGCACTTGAAATCTTCGGGGGGGCGGTAAACTTTCTTCGGGGGGGCGGACACTGTTAAAAGTATATATTTTCTATATAAATTATATAAATTTCATTTCGTTCGGGGGGGCGGTAAAAATTTTTCGGGGGGGCTTCGCCCCCCCGAAGAGATGCCTGGAAGAAACTCTGTATGTGGCAAAGTACAATAAATATTTGTTTTATATACAAGTAATATAAGGCAGAATCTTATCAAAATTAAAGAACTGTTGAAACAAGCATTAATTTTCTTTTTTATAAATGACCATTTTAACAAGCTAATCCTTGTATTTTA